GCGTAGTGCTTAGTTACTGGCCGGGGTTAAACCACGACAATTGTGTAGATTATTAAATAATTAAACTGATAAGCATCGTTCTCTACAACATCTTTAATATCGTTTTACTCACATTCTTTTAGATACTCCATTTTTATTTAGGTATACAAGACTTCCACCTTTTCCATTGACCCAAGAAAACCAGGGAAAAGATGAATCCAGATACGGAACTGTTGGATTTGTTTTTGAGATTCCAGTTTCTTTGGGGAAGATACTACATTTCTGGCATGACCACTTGACAACAGCAGCTAATTTATGCTCTTTCAACAGAGCTCTAAAACAGTGGAGAAAATAAGACGGGGTCAGAAGAGGCATCAATCAAGAGGTGCTATAATTCTGTTTCCTAGTAGTAATTTTTCCTCAAGGGGAAGCACAGAAAAATTAGAGTGCAATGGAGGCAAGGCACAGGACTTAATGGTTTGTCTGCCATTAACTGCTCCCTGCAAGGGCAAGTCTTTGCCAAAGCACAGCTGGGAACCAGTGCTGATTTCCGGAAAACCACAGTGAGGGCAGGCTGGGCGATGGGGTGCTGTGGTGGGAGGTCAGGTCTGTTTTTTCTAGTGGAGGTGGCAGCTAGCTCTCTCTCCTCTGTGCCTGGAGCATCACTGATGCTTTCCAGTTTCTAGATGCATGGTGGTTGTGTCAAGTCAACACTGCTGCTCACAAGGACCTTCAATTTCTGGACTGTCCCCTCAAGCAAAAGATGCAATGTGATGACATCTGTCATTCTTCTCCAAATATAGCTGATTCTCATGGCTGGAGAAGAGTAAAATGCTGATTCTGTTGTGAAGGGAATGGCAACATTCTCAGTGATCCCAGAAAAGCCAGGTTTTCAGCTTGGCCCTCAGGAACCTCAGTGGTGTTGTCCAGCATATCATCACAGACAGCAATCCACGGCCTCTGAAACACTCACGCTCTGAACAAACCTAAGTCATTCTTCCCCAGAAACTAGCAGTATGGTAGCTTTCATAAAAGCTAAACTTGTATGTAAATACAAACAAAAATACATAGGCACATCGAATAAATATGATTTTTGTTTTATAGCGACAAGAAACAAATACTGACTAGTTTTTGAACTGAACTGCTCAAAAAGTTCAAATGACTCCTGTAGAACACAACGCACAAGTGCTATTCGAAGAGGTTTACCAGTAGGTGGTGATGTATAATTATTTATTAGCAATTTTCTGGCTGCAAAAGGTTCTGAGCTACACAAGCAGCTATGCTACATGACTTTTTGTTTAGGTTTTCTTTTCATATGGCTCCAGAGATACCTGTTACATGTTTCACAGCTGCAGAAATGTTTCATAGCTGCAATTGCAGCTCCTGGCCGTAGCACGTCAGACTGCTCGTACTCTGAACTGCAGGCTGTCTTCACACCGCTGAACTGTGTTTTGTGTGGTTTTAGTGTTTTTCATCTGTTGATAAAAGATATTAACCGAGCTCTCGCAACACATGCAAGGGAAAAAAGGTCAATCATTTCTTTATATGGTGTACCTCTTATTAACTTCCAGTGAATAAAAAAGTTTTATAGTTGTCTGTGTGCAAATTTGCTATTTACTGACAAATGTAATCAGCCACCTCTTGTAACTCCATCACATCCTTCTGCGCACCAGTGCTCCCAAGTTTTGAAGCCATCAGTAACCCTGGAAAAAACTATTCACCTCAGTTTGGCCTATATATTATTGTTATTTAAATACCATGTGTGTGTCATGACTAGTGAAAGCCATATAACTACAACATATGAGACGAAGCTGTGGTTTGGATGGTTAATGATTTGTTTCCAAGCAGCTGTACAAACCAAGTCAGAAGGCTTCTCTTAGGCTTCAGGAATCACCACAGAAGTGAGCTGGGCCTGTTTGCTTTATGGGAACAGTACTAGCTCCATGGAAGCCACAACCAACCATTCTTCACCGGCTGGAGCAGACGTGATAGATAGGAGTACTCCCGGCAGCCTCTGCCCACAGCCCGCGGGCATACCTAGGTGAAAAATGTCTTGGTGCCCTTTTGGGGAAAGAGGCGCAACGTAACCATGCATCAGACGCAAGTCCTGGCCTTCAAGTCACAACCTGAGCCATATCTCTGCTGATCTCGCAGCTGGTGTGGGCAGCCAAGCTGAGGTAGAACTGGGTGCTAAACACATGGTACTGGGTAAAATATCAGCACGCTCCTTTGCATGCACGTTCTCTGCGAGTTGCTCTTTTTGGACTGGTTCTACCTCGGAATTCACTAGGGCTTAACCAAAAGGTCAAATAACAGCTGTTAAAAGGTTTTGTCTTTTCTAATAACCATCCAATCCATTGCTGTGTTTCTCCGCTGTTCTCAAGGGATGAACACCCATATTCAAACCTGCAATGACAAAGGCTTATACATTCAAAGATATGTGGTGCTTTATTCCTATGTCATTGGCCTAAGGTGAGTCTTGAGCCCAAGTCATGTCAGTTCTTTGCACTAATATTCTTCCTACCATTTATGCCAGGAGCCTACTTCAGAAAGCCAAGGCAAAACAAGTCAGTATGTTTTTTCTAACTGCATCCATAACTCCTATGGGTTGCCCTTTTGGGCTGGGGCAAGAGAGCCAACCTCATACACAACACAAAATGTGCTGCAGAAAATATAGTACCTGTCAATCAGTGGGACAACACAGTGCCTTCAAGACCTGCTGTACAGATTGGTGGCAACTGCCTGAGCTTTGGCAGTGGGAAAGGGGACCCAGTGTCCAGCCAGGTGTCATGTCTCTGTCTGTCTGAAACTGAAGAACTCTGAAATACCATATCCAGAACATCAGGGCACCCAACTGGTGCTGCTGAAAAATTAAGGCAGCCTGGTGCTAGTGATATAAATGAAAGGAGATTCACACTTCCTGTCTGATGAATTTGGAGGAGTATCTGTGGCAGACAACGCTCCTGCTTACATTTATCACAAGGACATATGTCACAGGCTGCAGCCAGCTATAGTACTGGCTGGCTTTGGGTAGATTGGCCTGTTTAAGAAACGAGGGGAGATGATCTAGAACTATGAAGCACCTCAAACTGTGCAAGAGTGACTCTGACCTATCATAATAGTTATTTATCAAGGGTGCTGCCACATAAAGGTCTCTGAAATAGAAAAGAGGGGGCACATTTGATTTTCCTGAGAGAAAGAGCAATTGTTTAAGGCTGCCATGAAGCTCCTGTTCTTTGCCTGCATCTGGTTACACTTTTAGTACTATTATATATGTACAAATCAAAAAGAGAAAGAAGGTGGGCAGCTTGAGAGAGGTCACTCCTGTTGTGGCAGCAGGATGCCGTTTATAAATCATGTTATCATCGCACTGCAGTACAACTTCCCAAAAGCATGTAAAGAAACGGCAAGCATGACTGGCAGCTCTACGTAATGCAACACATGACAGATCGTGTGAGGAGCCATAGGTATCTGTTGCTTGTTAAATGTTACTCCTGTGTGTTAGACACAAAGCTGACAAAAGCTTCCAACTTTCTTGTTCAGCGTTGTTTGGACATAAAAAGGCTGAGACCTACACGTGCAATAAGAATTAGACACAAACATAATAAAATTATCATACTTGTTTAGGTTGAGGAGGTGATAGGATGTAGTCAAAGGTGACATCCAGAACTGAAACTTCTCATAATGGAAACAGGCAGGAAGTGGGAAAGCATGGATTTTATAAGGCAATTCTGTTATAACAGGCTAAATTCAGCTGATGAAAAGGCATTTTTTTCTAGGAATATAAAAGAAATGCCTGTGCTTAAATGGAAATGGGGTGAGGGACAGGATCTTGAGCTGACACAAAAGGACTTGACTTTTAGATTAAGTGAGGGCAAACCTCAATGCTGTAAAAAGAGTTTATTTCTTCAGTATAGCAACTTAAAGATTGCCTCAAATGTAATGGCATGTGCACAGAGTTACCCCGTCCCTCGCTGCCTTCCTTGGTTTGAAGCCAGGACAATATTCCCATCTGCCAGATTTGCAGCTCAATGCCTTCAGTTTAGTGTTCGATTTGGACAGCAAAATGGCCAAGTCTTTGCTGTTGTATCACACAGGTGGAAGGACACCAACAAAAACTGGTACAAAAGTGAGCCTGAAAAAGTGACTGAAAAACTAGAAACCACCTGTTTCTCTCTTAGAAACTTATAAGGCCCTGAATGACTACTGAGACATCACTATATGCTACCTGGGCTGCCTCCTCGGTGGCTCGATGCCAGGTGCCAGGAGGAAGCCAAAGTTTGAACTCTCACTAGTCAGCAACAGTGAAGGAAAAGGGTTTAATGGGCAAATAAAAGGTGATCCAAGGATAATGGAAAAACCCCCAAACCAGTATGGTTGCCTAATCCTCCTTTCTTCTCTCTCACGCTGCATTATAGAAAGCCCGCTTTTCCCTTTCTACCAGAGAAACGTTGTTGGAGGGAGTAAGCCCATGTCCGCAGCCGTCCCTTTCCCCACAGCCGAACCCCCGCCGTTCCCTCCCGCAGCGGCACACCGGAGCCAGGGCCCTCCGGGAGAAGGCGGGAGGGGGTGAGCCGGCTGGTGGCTGAAGGACGACATGAACTGCAGCCACCGGTTAGCCCGGACTGAATCCTCTGGACAGCCGTCAGTAGCCATTTCATATATTGCTAAACTTGAACTATAAACCGCAATTGGTAAATCTGCAGGATAAAGCACACCTGACAGACCTTCAAATTATCAGCTATTACAGCTGTTTGGTTACTTTGGATCCGCTCCTGGTATGTGACATCAGCACAAGGCCGTGTCCGCAACTGTCTACATCAATCCGGCGAACCTCTCTGCGGAAAGATGTCAGAGCTGAGGCAAAACAGGCTCTCTCCAGAAATGGTTAATCAATAGCTTGCTAGGTTGACTGAATGCCATCAGGTGCAGTGATGCACCTACTGTATATAAATCACGACCCGTCTTCTGTGTCATCCTCAGTCACCTCTCCTGCCATACTGGTGGTTACCAGTTTGCCACTGGGAAGTCTTCGGGCGTTACCAGAAATGTTCACAGCACCGTGGATCTGGGGAACAATGCTAATACTCTGCTGTGGGTTTTGGTTTCTTCTAGGGAGGAGGAGGAGGAGGTAAGGAATCTATCTGTAAATGCATCCCGGTGTACCTAGCCTTTCTTCCTGCCAAATATACTCTCTACATAATTAAAAGAAGTGTTATCTTGCGGCTATCAGATGGACAGATGCAGAATAGCATGGCAACACTGTAGTTTGGTCTTTCGAGAGATTTCTTTTACAATAGAATTTTTGTGGGGTGGCTTTTTAATAATAGTGTGGTAATGCCTAGACATAGCTGTAGATACAAATCTATGCATAAATGAGGTAATTAAAATTAGTTAAAATTAAAATATGAATATGCATGTTCTGATTTCCTAAAGTACTGGGCTATAGTTTTACCTGCACTGTAATCACAGCTAATACCTACTTATACCTAATTACAGTTTAACACCTACTTACAAATATATTCATATTATCAGTCTACCAGTCTACTAGTTACACAGTTTAATACAGATATTTATGTACCTTACTATGTCAAATACATATTCCTTCAAAGCATTTATCCTACTAGCACATTTACATAAGGAGCAAATAATTTGCTTACCCATTGTCCTTTTGGATTTTTCAGCAGTCATTTTCTTGGTTTAATTTTAAAAGTTTAATAAAAAAGGTGAAAATAGTTAACTTCAGATAATAGCCATCAGGAATTTACTAGAAAAGCTAAGTATTATCTGAAAGTTATTTTAGCAGCTATGGTGTCCTTATGCAGGAAAGTAGTTTTCTGACTGAGCATAAAAAGTAGCATTTAAGTATATGTGCTTAATGACACTTTGCCTGAAAGACTAACTCTTCTGCTTATTGAAGATCATGGCAAAATTCCCACTATTTTCAGCAGGCTCTGGTCCAAATGGGATATGCCAATAATAACAAGCTTTCTTGTTATTGAAATTTAATAATAATAGAAATTAAATAACAATTTCTTGTTATTTCTTTCTTGGCAACTAACACTCAAGAGGCTATTCCCCTTGGTATTCAAATTGAATTATGAATACCGTTGTATCAGACAGTATTAGTGGGATGGATGATTCACTTATGGGACAATTATGCAATTGTGCATGTTAGGTAGTGGCAACAAAGTTGCATTGAAACAAGTTAAAAGCATACTCTTGATCTAGGGAAAAGAAAAATGATATAATCAAACTGTTTTATTCTGCTCATCGTAATACAGGCTGTTAGAGTTATTCTTTCTTGTATGCCATAGACCTCACAATAGGTTTACTGCTTAAAGGGGAGAAAATTATTTGTCAATGTATTATTTGTTTGGGTTGGGGTTTTTTTCCCCACATTTTTTCACATTACAAAAAGCCTAGCATCGTCATTTTACTTCCCTGCTAGTCCTGGAGGAGAGATCTTTACGCATACTTCTAAATCCAGCTTTTGTTTGTGTTTTGTAGGCGACAAGGTGAGCCGCCACTTGAAAATGGGTTCCTCCCGTACCTGGGCTGTGCCTTGCAGTTCAGCACCAACCCCCTTGAATTCCTCAGAGAAAAACAGAAGAAGTATGGCCACATTTTCACTTGCCGAGTAGCAGGGAAATACATTCATTTCCTCACTGACCCTTTTTCATACCATGCATTGATACGCCAGGGAAAACACTTGGACTGGAAAAAGTTCCATTTTGCTGCTTCTGCCAAGGTACCACTTTAAAAATGGTTTTAATGTCTAACATGCAAAGTATCTGCTGGCGGGACAAACATACCCTGTTAATCGCTATAGCATAACTATGCCTCTGAAATATAATTGGGTTGACATTTCTGCACTTCCATTGGTTTAAAACATTGGGGTCTTTTTTTCCCTGTCCTTAATGGAAAGGAAATTTGCAGTGATTTGGATGGTCCGATTTGGATTGTCCAAGAGTGACATTATTTAGGGATGCAGCATCCCAAATGGCTAACGTAGAAATACAATTAGCACCATCTGCAAAATGTTCATACAGCTGGCTGCAGCTGAAATCTTCTTCAGGAGGCACTATAGAAGAATTGGTCCTAATGCCTTAAAAAAATGATGCAACACAGGAGGAGCTCAGCCAAACTCTTACTGATGTAAGCAAAAAGTCTCCTGTTGATGTCAATGGGAGTTGAATGAAGGTCTAGGTAACCATGTGCATTTATTTGTACGCATCTATTCGAATCTATTTTCATTTGCCTACTTAACTGCTATGGTTCACTGAGAAAGTATCGGGTTTGGTATTAATAGCTTCCCTCTAGTAAGCTACGAAGTTACACTTTGGCTTTAATTTCTGTTAGACTTTATCATCAAAACTATGGCAGGCCTGATTTATCATGCATACAATTTATTTTGTGACAGGCTTTTGGGCATGGTAGCATTGACCCAGCAGAAGGAAACACCACTGAAAATTTTCATCAGACTTTCATTAGAACCCTTCAAGGTAATGCCCTAGATGCCCTCATTGAAGCAATGATGGAAAACCTACAATACGTCATGTTGCAGTCAAGAACATCTAAACTTCAGTCTAATGCCTGGGTGACAGAAGGACTTTATACGTTTTGTTGCCAAGTGATGTTCGAGTCTGGCTTTTTAACACTTTTTGGTAAAGAATTTAATTCAAATCACGACAAAAATCTGTCATCAAAGCAGGAAACTGAGAGAGCTCATATACTAAATGCCCTCGAAAACTTCAAGGAATTTGATAAAATCTTCCCAGCCCTCGTGGCAGGACTGCCTATCCACCTCTTCAAGAGTGCCCACAGCGCACGTGAGAAGCTGGGAGAGGCACTCCTCCACAAGAACCTCCTGAAGAGGGACAACCTCTCTGAGATTGTCACCCTCCGCATGTTTCTGAATGACACTCTGTCAACCTTCGATGACATGGAAAAAGCGAAGACCCATGTGGCATTGCTCTGGGCCTCACAAGCCAACACTATTCCTGCCACGTTTTGGAGCTTGTTCTATCTCCTTAAGTAAGTCCCAATGCTTCTTGTTTCCAAACAAGAAAAATGTTTATTTTTCAGAAACCAGTTCATTAATACAGGCAAAATCCACTGCTTGATACCTCATCAGTGTCAAAAAGCTTACTGATTACAACAGAAGTGACACATTGTTCTGGACTTCCACAGAAACCCTCTTCACATCTCTGAGACCAAGTAATGCTACCACAGAGCAATTCTGTAGATTTTTTTTTAAAAACAACACTCCAGGGCAATGCTACACTTTGTAAAGAAAGCTTTGGAGTAAATCTGTATGATATGACATTAAAACTGCTGGCTGCAGTCAGAACATTAATTGTACTGAAGGCTCCCAATGTAATCAGACATTTTTAGACCTTCTCACTAGCACAGGCAAAATGAGCTTTAACTTCATTATTGTTTTCACAGATACTTAACAGAAAATAGTTCATACATTGATAGATCCTACTGAGCTTGTTACTTGTGAGAGGAGTGCACAGTTCAGATAATACTATCAAACGTCCATTTTAGAGTGGGCCTCTGTGGAGTATAATCTACCTCAACATGACCAAATCTTAAGTGTCTATCTAAATTGCTAATTTTTTGATTTAGCCAGGGGCTTGCACCCTCATAATCTACCTGCCAATGCTAATATCTGAGGTTCTTTAGTACTTCTCACTCCAAGAATGCATTGGCTTTAGGTCTTCTGGCCTTGGAGTCTTTTAACACCCTGATTAATTGTGCCTTCATCAAGACACTATTGCATGATGTATTATCTATAGGTATTTCACCATAGCTCATATATTCTGTGTCTGTAAGAAAGTCTAGACAGTGAAGGATACTATATGGACTTTTAGTATTAGGAAAATTCTTTTCAGCTACACAGAATATTGCCACATAACAGGACATCATCCAGGATAAGTGATGTTATAAAACTGATCTATGATCCTGTTCCTAAACTTTCTACCCGCAGTGGGGCTATTTCCTAATCTACAACTGATTGTTTTATTTCTTATTCTTGGCATTGCTTTTTAGTGACATTACTGTTTACTACCTCAGTTATGCACATCAGTTCTGTCCCACTTGTCATTGGAGGGGTTCTTTTCCATTTCTTGAAGCTGTTGTACCTTTACTAAGACACAAAAAAGTGTAGTTGCAGCATTTTGCTGCAACATTTTCATTTTAGAAGGTTGTACTTGTCAGCTAACAAACTATTTTAGTCAGGAAGAAAGTTAACGGCAAAACCCCTTTTTAAAGCATTTCGAAGTGTAAAATTATGTTATTCTTTTGATCTTAGGAGTCCAGAAGCAATGACAGCTGCTACCAAAGAAGTGCGAAGTGTTTTGGAAAGCGCTGGACAGAAGATCAGCTTAGATGGCAAACATATTTCCTTGAACCGAAAACAGCTGGATAATATGCCAGTACTAGGTATGATTATTTTATGCAAGAGTACCTGAAATCTCCCCACAATTTTCAGTCTTCTATTTGTTACTGTATAAATGCTTGCTATGGAATTACTATGCAATTAGCCAACAAACTAGAACAAAAACCTATATGTTCCTTAGCAATAGCCAACACAGTCAGTCTTCCCAATGTCCTAGGTGGTACCGAGAGCATCAAAATTCACATGGATAGCACTTTTTTGTGAGTAATGGCGTGTCTCAATACAGCTACATAACATAGTATTGGAGACCCATGGATAATTCAGAACATTTTGTTTAGTAATGACTTTAGATGAAATAAAAGGATGTTGCCAAATTTTATATCCTAGTGCTTATGATGTGAAGCAGTATCTTCTAATACCATTACTTAATATTCTTAGTATTTTTCAAATCATAGGCACATTCTTCAAAAGTGTCCAAGTTACAGGAAGTAGTTTTGAAAATGTCACCCTTTAACTACTGTTGCTTTCTTTCTTTCTTTTTTTAATTTGCTTATATTGAAGCAAAAAACCTGCAAGTTACTTTTTATAAGTATGGGTTTCTATGCATCACCTCAAAGTTTCAGGAAATCTTGATCACTGTTTCTTTTTCTTGTTATGCTTCTGGTTTTGACTGTTTTGTTCTTTATCTCAGAGTGAAAAAGCTCACTTTCAAATATTCTGTTGCTTCAACTAGAAGTATTTTTCTTGGGGAAAGCGGATTATGTTCTCAGTGTTATCTGCAGAAGGGATAATAATGCTAAAAAGAAACGAGAAAGATACTTTCTTAGGCATTTAGAAAGTTATTGTTATAGTATTTCTTCTAATAAATGCAGGGTTCGATAATGGGTTTGAAATAGTCCAAAATGTATATGCATACTATTTCCATGGCAATAGTTCCTTTTCTTCTCCCTACAGACAGTGTCATCAAGGAGGCAATGAGGCTATCGAGTGCATCCATGACTTTCCGAGTTGCCAAGGAGGATTTCACTTTGCACTTAGAGAACAATTTTTACAACATTCGCAGTGATGATATTGTAGCTCTTTATCCTCAACTGTTGCATTTTGATCCAGAAATCTATGCTGATCCCTTAGTAAGTATTTATCAAGGTGCATTAAACTCTGAGCTCTAGCAGAAGCTAACGTGCCTTTAAATACAACATTTACCAGGGGTGCCCCATGGCTGTTTTCTATTGTACTCCAGACAGTCTGTTCTTACACCTTGAGACGTAACGACAGGCAAGAAAAAGAATAAAGTCAGTGCAAGCACTACCTGTAAAACATATTTTAGTGTAACCAAAAAGTGGCTGCCAGGCCAAGAGAGCCTTCTGCTTACTGCCTTCCTCCGTGAGGAAACGTCACCACTGGGGAGGGGGGGGTGAGGGAGGACAAGGGTAAGGATAATATTTTCCCAGAGGCACAGAATGAGGGGTGAGGGGTGTTCCAGTTCTGCTGCATGAGCAAGGATGCAGGTTATAATCCTTCTTTTAAGAGGTCAGAAAACAAAAGGAGTCTTCTCAGCAAAGAACCTGGGATTATGTCCTACACACCAGAACTTCTCAGGGGCTGCCCTCTCCAAAACAGCGCCATGGGGCCTGGCGCTACTGTACAATGCTTCCTGCTAGAAGCTCTTCTTTCCCAGCCTGCATTTTGTGTCTTAATGGCATTATCTAGTCTTTGGAGGTATTCAAGTGTCAAGTAACTCTTTTGTGGCTTTTATTACAGACATTCAAATATGATCGCTTTCTCAATGAGAACGGAGAAGAAAAGACTGACTTCTACCGCAACGGTCGCAAGTTAAAGTACTACTATATGCCATTTGGAACAGGCATAGCAAAATGCCCTGGCAGGTTATTTGCTGTCCATGAAATTAAGCAATTTTTGGCTTTGATATTTTCATATTTTGAGATAGAGCTTGTGGACAATAATGTGGAATGTCCTCCTTTAGATCAATCCCGTGCAGGACTGGGTATTTTGCAACCAGCCAATGACATTGATTTCAGGTATAAATTGAAATGTCTATGAATATATATTTTATATTATACATATAAACTATGTACTATATAAATACACTATACTTTATACCCATTTTATGTATTTATGCAAATGAGATGTTGCAAGTCTGGGGGAAAATCTATATGAAGATGCTAATTCGTAAGTCTAATGGAAAATGCATAATGTATACCATTACGGTACCAGCACACAGTGGGTTTAATGCACTGTGTTGATACAAATGTTTCCCCTTTTACCAATCATTTTGAAATTCAAGTTAAGATTCTGAATTGTGCATGTAGAGTAGTTTTTTTTTGTTTTTCTGTCAGCAAATACTTTCCTAGAGTTAGTTAGAATTTCATCAGTTAATCCAAAATAATTGTCAAAATTCAACTACAGTTGTTCTTTTTGTTACAGTTGTTATAATTGAAATGTTGGGGATGGTGGTTCTCCCCACAGGTGAAATAAATAAAAATTCTGTTGTATAAAGGCAGATTCGCTGTGGGGAGGGGAGAGTTTCCTGGGGAAGTCCCTTTATGGTTTTACGAAAAACTAGAAAAAGACTTGAAGAAAATCTACAAAAATGTTCACGTTCTAGTGAAACTGCAAAACTTGTATTATATTCATTGTAATATACTTCTTTTCAGAAAGTTGTAACTGTATTAAAATAAATTATATTGGCTGAACAAAATGCATCTCTAGACTGTTTGACATCTTAATGCCTTAACATTCTCAAAGATTTACACCAAAGCCACCTAAGCCAGCTTTAAACTAGCCACCTCAAATGCCAATATAGAGATAGATAGCCACCCTATATTCACCAGTGGTTCTGGTTAGATTTTGCACCATTCTCTGAACTCAGTATTTCCATAAGCCTCCATCGGTCATACTCCTTAAGTCTTCCTAGTCTAAAACCATTAAAGTTATCATGGGTAGTATGCCCACACATTTCACTTTTAGTGGTGGCATGTCCATAAGAACAATTGTTCCAGGTATAATATAATTTGGTTCTCTGTAACATCCCCGTCTTTTTCTGCTGCAAATGATAGATGGATAGATGTCACAAAACTCCATTTTTAATGAAACATCTTCAGGCTGAAAGAGATAGCTCTCTTATCATCTGCCAAAGAAAAGAACAAATGTACTTAGAATATTGTTGTTATCCTGTTTTTGTATGTTTCTAAGGACTTACAGTCTGACATTTTGTCCTTGACTCAAAAGCAAGCTTCATCACAGAAATGAGATATAGGACTATGAGATTTTTTCAAATTTCACATTCTGGCAAGATATCCAGTCTAGCTGACAGAGCTCTTCCTAAACATGGAATTTTGGATTGAGTCCTAGAACTGCTTTAAATTACGTATCTGTTTCTCTTTTCACTATCCACTGTGCTAAATATTCAAAGGTAAATAAAAAGATTCTGTAGTCTGTGATTATTTATTACCTGTGTGTTTTCTTTGTAATTTTATTTAATCTTTTTTCATTTTCAAAGGAGAACAGATTCAATTGAACCAATTCATTGCCATCCGCAATATGTATAATATTACTATTATGTATAACACAAGTAGTTTTGAATTACTACTTCAGTTTTCTTGGTAAGGAAGTATCCAGTCTTTAGGTACAGCTTGTTTTCATTCTTCTGTCAATTATATTTTTTATGATTTATATAAATTATAGCACATTCAATGTAAGTTAGCACTGACCCAGAACACATGAAAGCCCGATATTATCATAATTACATGTACCCTGGCACATATTATTACCATTAGAGTATCTATTGCCCCCTTCTTAAACAAATCTTGCTTAAAACAACAATTTTTGAGGGTAGCAAGGCTATGTGATGCTTTAAGCAAAATACTCTTCCTTGGTGAAAAGGAATTCAACATAGAATTATAACAGCAGATAACAAAAGATAAGAAGATGACTGCTAAACTAATTCTAGGTTCCCTGGAATATTAAGCCTTCTTTTACATCCTCTTGTCTCCTTCAAACTGACTGCTCCAGACTGCCCTGACTGTGGTTTAATATTTTCTTTCAGCTCCCTTGGTCTATGAGAAATTGAAGTATTCAGTAGCTCCTAGAGCTGATCTGACTTTCAGCTACCCAAGGAATACCAACAGTAGAGAACTGAGGGGAAGGCAAAAACACTGCAGGATTCACCCCACGGGTTAAAATCAAGTTCTGAACATAATGAGGAGGCTACTGGCTTTATTCCCAAGTGTCAAAGCTCTCAGAGATGGCACAGGAGATACAAAAGCCAGCGTCTCCATGTTTGCATTGACTGCTTGGCACTTCTTCCTCCTTCCCCTGCTGTGTGATAATCCTGGTCTACTGTAATTACGTACTCAGGGCTTTGCTTGACTGGCCCGATCTCATTACCCAGTCTTCCCCGCTATGCCAGCAGTGTATGCGTTAGGTCAGGTGCCTGTTTTCTTCCCTGGGACTCTGAAACCCACTCTTCCCTCAACTTCTGAATCTTCCCCTTGTTATATTCCTTTTTCATTCCTTCTGGATACTTGCCAGATGGGCAGATGTACAGAGAATATTGGGAAAGGTACTGGTGTGGCCTCTCTGGTCCTTCAATCCCTTCACAGAGAATTCAGCATTTTAACTAGAAGTTCAGCTATGGGGAACCATGCCACATTTTTCATTGCAGCAGGTGTATAGGGAAAAGCTTCAGTTTCTGTCTGAGGTTTATTATTTTTTTTTCAGTGAGGATTAGATCAATCTTCAATGTTCCGAATGTACCATATAAATGCTACACATACATTAGGTTTTGTCTATAGCCTTCAGCCAATTTTGCACCAAGAAAATGAAGAGGAAGCAAATAAAAATTGTGAAGTTCTGTCAGGCTGGACTGCTATTTACAAATTTATGTTTGGCTTTGAAGTCACTGCTAAAATTGCTGACATTCTAGAACAAAAAGTGCTTCATTGCAACTTGCATAAAAACTTACAAATTTCTACTGTAAATAATTTAAATTTAATAATTAATCTAATAAAATAATTAAACAAATAAATAACTAAATAAATTTAATTAAATAATTTAAAAACATAATACATATTGATGCACATGATGAACAACTTTGTTTTAAAAATTATTTAATTCCATATGCAAAGTACAAAATTTCTTTTTCAAAGAAATCTTAATAAAACCAAGTCCAATGGAAAAGAGTTATATTCCTGCTAGGGCAGATATGACTAAGGAATGGCCAGAACTCCGAAACGTTCATGCAACACAATTATCTTGTAACAATAACATACTTTTAAACGTCTAGCTTTAGTACACCTCACATGGCTCTCCTGGAGCGCTAATTCAAAGGTTTCCTAAGCGAGACCACTCCCAGGCTAACAAACCACAGCAGAGGCAGGCACCAGGGTCCATATCCATCCCACTCAAGTCCAACGCCTTAACTGCAGAGCCACTGTAAATTGGCAGAAGCCAGCACTGTTGCCAGACTGTACACAGAGTCCTTCAGGGGTGGTTCAGGTGCTCCTGTCGAAACTCCCGTGGGAGCGTGGCCCTCGCCACTCAGCCTCCATCACTCTTCTGTTGCTGGGCTAGCAATTCTCCATGGACTGCTGGACTCATAACCTGTGGATTGATACTCAGTGTATAACATAACAGAGGCGACCAGCTGTTTTTGCCCAGTTCGGAACTCATGTAACTCAAGGAGTTTATCAGCATGCCTTCAGAGGACTTTGTGAAGCAATGCTACTTTCTAATGTTGAGCTAGCATTATGCAGCTGAAAAGAACCAGTATAACCTCCTGAGCACTCTTCCACTTTGTGACAAAGGACATACAGATGAACAGTTTGAACAGTTTTGGACAGGGATTTCTTCTTCTTTTTTTTTTTTTTTATATTGGGCTATATACAAGTATTTTGGTTTGCTGCCATGGCTGCTAACTTTCTAACTTCAGTTAAACCCCTGTTATGAGGGTCACACAGATGCAAGTGAGGGGAGAAATGAGTACAAAGTCTGTGGCTGCTTTGCCTCAGCTAATGTAATCAAATACTTCAGCAATCGATAGTCATCTGCCTTGCCAGGGTCATGGACACCGCAAGGTTATAACAGGGCAATTCTCTGCTGCCTCGCCTAATAGCAATACTTTTTTGTAAGATAGGAGACAAAAAACGTAAGATTAAAGACCGTAAGAGCAATTAAAAAAACACTGGGCAGATCCAGGCTAGTGGGAAGGAGGCAGCCTACACCATGGGTTGTGTAGTTCACATTACATACTTACTAGGTAAAATGCATAAAGAGATATGGGCAGAAGGGAGCAAAGACTCCACCTCCTAGGTGAGAACCCTAACCATTAGGTTAGGTCAGACATCCACCCTCTTCTCAAGGCATCTCCAGTCTGTCTTCTCTGAAAAATGGAACAGATTCAACAGAACAATTTGCATGACTCCCTGACGGTACCCTTATAGCTAAAGTGCTTTCTTAGCTAAGAAAAGATTCAATTTCAACATGGGATTGAAGTCCCTGTGGTAGAGGAGGGAATTGAGTCCAGTCTCTCCCACACCCTAAGGGACAACTGTAACCTCATGGTTATCCTGTAAAGGGTGAGTAAGAGCAAGTGGTAGATCCTGAAGGAGGCACAAGCACATTATAGACTAGGCACACCAAGCAGTTTAAGTGCTCAAGCATTTTTGGACCCAGATGAGCTCTGCATGGGGCCAGCCAGGTGCCTCTGCACAGTGATCTTGGGATTAGGAGCAAGACACAGGCAGTTGAGTGAGAGCAGGTAGCTCGTAACTCAGCCAAAGGAGGCATTTTCATTGAGCAGATGGAATCTAGGCAGTGAAAATGTTTTACCTTTTTCAGGCTAAAAGAAAACTTTACCTCATCATGGAGTTCTTGGAGGTAACGTGATGACCTTACTAATGAAACAAGACACCTTATCAGAAAACAAGACAGTTTTACATTTCTGAAACCATGCTGGCTGTAGCTGTTGTTCACCAGCTGGGACTCATCCACAGAGAAACTACCTCAGAGAAGCTTTGGCTGGATGTTAAAGGTCATGTAAAACTACCCTGAGCAGAGTCATATGCCTCCAGCTTCCTTCCAGCAACACAAGCATGAAGCAGCAGTGGCAGGCTTGGGAGCAGGAGGATGCAGTGTGAAGGGGGTTCTCAGTGGCTGGGATCTGGCCCTTGTGAGCTGCAGCACACTGTTGATTTTCTCAAGGTTAAGGTTCAGCCTGGAACTGCTTGACAGGATGAAGCTAAAACCACCCTAGCCAAATTTTAAAAGGAAGAAGCTGCCA